TTCAAGAAATATAGATACAGACATTCAAGAACAATTCTTTGAAATACGTCGAAGAAGTGTAAACAAATTTTTTTACGAAAAAGCATCTCACGAACTACAAACTGCAGAAGAAAAATTTAAAATATCTACGTCCAATGTATTAATGAATATTGCCGTTGAAGCTATGAGCAAAAGATTTTTGAAAAATATGGATATATGCAGGGATCTAGCAATATTAGACTCTAATCATTTTGAAGAAATATGCAGTAAGAAAAATCTACCTGATAACTGCATGCATTATTTGTTCGCAAAAATAATAAAGTACAATTCTTCTGCAACTTCTTCAAAATTAAAAGAGGAACTTGTAAATTTTGTATTATAACAATTTGGGAAAAATTGAAATTAATTTTGGAAGATACGTATAAAATAAATTGTGACTCAGATTTAGATGACATTGATAATTTAGACTATGTAGAGGTTCATGATATTGAAATTTGTAGTATGTATATATATAAAAAGGAAAAAAATATTTGCAAGAGTTGCAAAAATTGTGCAAAATGCTGCAATAATTTTAAAATACAACATGTTTCAGGGAGCGTATTCTGCACTTGCTACAGCATATCAGTATCTTTTAACACTTCCAATATCACAAGTAAAATGTGAGAAATCATTCTCAATTCTTAAGTAAAAATATAAAAAAATAGATTAAGAAATAAATTGACGGATAACCGACTGGAATCTTATGATTATGAAAAATCAATTTTAAATGAAATTGATAATCATGAAGTTATTAACAGTCTGGCAGTGCAAAGTACTTTACTGAAAAAAGCTTTAATTTATTAAGTTGTGGCAATACTTTAATAACAATTTTCTGTTTTTGTTCTTTATTATTTATATTATAGTTTATTTTAATTTTGTGATATAGTACCAAAGAGAAAAGTTTATTTTGTTTATTTACTAATAGATGTTCTTTTTTAATATATTATGGAATTTTGTTTCCCCCCCCCTCCCCCCTTCTTTACAGGAGATTTTGATCAGGGCCGAATTTGATAGTTTTCCAGGCCGGAAATTATATCCCATCCGTCCCTGTTCAGTAGTACGACGTAGTACAATAAGTGTTCGATAGCTACTCAATAACAGTTTATAATAGTTGTATAATTAGGAACGCTCAGCTATTTGTATTATATTACGTTACTAAAAATATTATTATAATTAGCTAAATTAAAATCATTGCTAAGTCATATCATTAAAAAATCGTAAAACAAATACCATATTTATTTAATAAAATTGTGAGCAAGAAGAAAAGAGAACGTAGGAAAGAATAACGGGAAGAAGAGAGAGCGCAAATACTACAATATGATAAGTATATAATCACGATGGATAGGAGAGAGAGCATGAATATTATGGCGAGTATAGGACTACAACGGGTGAGACGTATATCATTATGTACATTATTTGGCAACGTCGCAATGCATCTCGATCTTTAAATTTTAGATCATTATACATACAATTTGGCAACGTCGCAATGTATCAAAATTACATTCATGATGTCATCGCGAAATGTGTCGTATTAATAAGTCGAATGTCCTTAAAAAAATTTTTTATCTTTACACTAATAAAGCTGTCGGCGTTTTCATTTTTTGATCTTTCGCTTTGTTGGTTGAACAATTCTATATGCATTCCTGAAGAAATGTGATGGAAGGGACGAAACTTAGAGAGAGGGCAATGTTACTGCATCAGTCGTTCAGACAGACCGCTACTGCAACGCTTTCCAAGCATGAGATTTTACGTTCCTATTCAAGATGAAGAGTTTTATAAACTGTAAGTTTTTATTTTATAAATTTTTTTTATACCTTTTCTCTATAGTTTGTTTATCTTTTGTTACAGTTCCTTTTTTCTCTAGGCTTTATTGTTTTTCGAAGTATTCGCCTTTAAGATCGATACATTTTTGTACGCTCGAATCAATTTTGGAAGCATTTTTTCCACTCTGAGGCTGTAACTTCAAAAATCAGTGTACGAAATATTTCAACAGCTGCATTAGGCGACTCAAATCGCTCACTACGCATCTTCTTTTTAATGTTTGGGAACAAAAAGAAGTTATTAGGTGATAAATCAGATTAATACGGACAATGAGTCATCAATTCGACATTTTTACTGCATAAAAAATCAACGATTTGACGTGCTGTGTGACAGTTGGCGTTATCATGATGAAGAATGATGCGACGATTTCGATTTGTTCTACTTAATTCATTTATGATTTCTGGCAAACAAATTGTTGTATACCAAGTATTTACAGTCCTTCGATCTTTAAAGCCACGGTTGCCACATGTCCGATATAATTGAAGAAACAAGCAATCATTTGCTTGGCAGCACTGCGTGAATGAACAACTTGTTGGTTTCGGTTCATTTTGAAAATACCCAAACAGTGGATTGTTATTTACTTTCGGGTATACGAATAGATCCATGTTTCGTCCGCAGTAACGATGTTGTAGATCAAATTTGACCGACCTCGATTGAATTTCTTGAGCATTTATTTGCTCCATTTAACACAAGCCTGTCTTTGAGCTTCGGTAAAATTGTGTGGAATCCAACGACTGCAAAGTTTCCGTACGCTCAAATGATCATGCAAAATCGTATGTATTGCTATCATATTGTCAATGCCTAAGGATGCCTGAATCTCGCATCATATACTAGTCTCGCTCAATCATTTCACGCACAGCATCAACATTAGTGGCAACAACAGACGTGATGGACGACCTTCACGGAATTCGTCACAAAGAAAGATACGTTGGAATTCGGCAAACCAATTATAAACAGTCCTATTGGTTGGTGCTTCATTCCCCAAATGAAGTCGATCGATGCATTGTTTCGGAGTTAGATTACATTTGTAATCGTAAAAAATCATTGCTCGAAAATTTTCACGCGAAATTTCCATTTTCTCACAAAATAACTTCTTTTACAATACTATACAAACAAAACTAGTAGTTGGCTTGGGTACAAACTGTCAACTGAATTATAGATTAAAAACGTCTAATTTTATGGATATGATAGTAGCAGGTTGGCGCCACTGGAAGTATTAGATTGCAGAAACTTTTCCAGCAGCCTACGTATATATATATAACTTTCTTCTGTAGAGCATCTTCTTGTAATAAAAAACCCTATACACCTCATATATTGGGAAGAAGACTTACACTGACTTCTGCAGCTTACAAATACCTGGATATCGGAATCGTCATGGGGCTTGTGTCTTTTATGGAAATTGCAATTAACAATCAAGATAACAACATAAGCTTGTCTCATCCAATGTGGCAAGCTTTCATCGAAAGACGCGCCGATATTGAGCGGTTCGTGCAGTCAATTGCACCTTCATCATTATTGATTCAAGATCTTGTGGTAGAAATTATAAAAATGCGTGATGTAAATGTGGTCAAATTAACACTGCGCGAAACATGTCTGTATATGAAGCTGTATATCAATCTCTTCATGTTCAAATTTAAACATTGCGTCGAGAACGTATACTCTGAGTTGTGCCAGTATACGCATATCGTCTATGAAAAATTTAAATATTTTGTAATACTTTTAGGTGAAAATTGTCATCGATAAATGTGATGCTATAGATTTTTTGCGCAAAATTTATAATAAAAAATCAGATATAGAGTGTGAGTTCAAAGTTTATGCTTTAGATAATGTTATAAACAGTATGTGAAAAGTAAATGTACATTTTATTACTAATCGGAAGCAAGTGCTTAAAATTCGATTTGAAAATTAATTAAATTAAATTATATTAAATTAAGTTCCTGCTTATAAATATTGTAAGAACTGTATAATAAGAGCTGTGTCAAAACGTTATATATAAAAGTAAGCGCATATTGAACTGTATATCTGAGTTTATGATATTATTCATTTCTTTCTTATTATAGCAGCGTTATTATAGCAGCGTTATCATATTACGCGTGCTGCCAACATCTTCGCGCTCATCATCTGTCGCGCTGCGACAGACGGTCACGACCGTATTAAGCGTTTTCTCTATTTAAATCATTAAATAAAAAACGTGTAATAAAATATTTTTGTGAGAAGAAGGTACGATGGGAGCGACAACGCGACGGGAAATATGACGAAACATAAGAAGACGGATGGTAAGTATATGCGGTAAGTGTATGCAAGCCTTTGTTATCGATGCATTTTTGGGAAGGGTGGTGGTGAGCAGCAGCGGCGGATGACGAAAAAAAATACAGAATTCATCATGTTTATGTAATCTATCAACCGAGGTCTTATGTTTATGTAAACAGCGATGCCGCCACCGGGGACCTTCCCCGCGCTTACGAGTACCTCCTACTCCTTCCCACGCCCTGAGGCCCCTTTAGCCCTAGGTTAGCGCCCTATTACCTTTACCGTTGAATGACACGTCCTACGATCAAATATAAGCGCGCAACAAGAACCGTCCATCGTCGTTTTGCTAGGTGCACGAGTAGCTGTTTACTACAAATGGTCTTGATAACATATGGATAGCGAAAAACCTGTCCCTGTGCTGTATCATACCACGCGCTTGCATTTGGCGATAGGTTCGACGGATATACACTTATTTGGTAATCCTTAGAAATTATTATCTCGTTGACTGTTACTAAAATTCCGAGATAGTACAGAACTTTTCGATTCAGTTTAGTTCACTCTACCTATTCATGGTGTTTTATCTAATTATGTTTTAACTAATACAAGATATTTTTGTATAAATGACAACTAGTAGTAGTATAACTATAAAATAATTTATTTAACTATGTATTTTAATTTTACATAAAAATTTGTATATAATGTTAATTCTACGTATAAAAGTTATCACCTTTATAATTGCTACTATGTTTTTTCTCTTACTGCATAATAAAATAATTCATAAATTTTCTCGACTTAAAAAAAATCCTCAAAATTAGCCAAAGAATTCAGAATATCTGATAGTTTTGGGACATTCTGTACATTTACCTGTTGAAACACAATAAAGATATGACAAAGATATTGCGTTTGTTCAGCAAGGAGGTACTGCGAGAAAAGGACAATATTAACGATGGCATCGGTGCACCGGACTGGCGTCTGTCGCTTACGCTCTTCGTCAGCTGGTTGACGGTCTTTCTTGTGGTGATACGCGGCGTGCGCAGCTCCGGCAAGGCGGCATATTTTCTGGCGATATTTCCCTATATAGTTCTCATTGTGCTGCTTATAAGGGCAGTTACGCTGGATGGATCTGTCACTGGAATCTTCTACTTTATCACCCCGACATGGGAGAAACTGTTGACGCCGATGATTTGGTACCACGCTGTTGCCCAATGCTTCTTTTCATTAACTGTTTGTTTTGGTGCTGTCGTCATGTTTGCTTCGCATAACAAATTTCACCATGACCTGTATCGGTTAGTTAAAAACATTCTTATTTTCATTTATTACACACACACACACACACACACACACACACACACACGCGCGCGCGCGCGCACACACACGACATATATAATTAGAGAATTTGCAACTATTTTCATTATTGAAGACAGCACGAGACATCCATTGGATATCCATGGATGTCGTGTGCTATTTGGATATATCGATTGGAAATTTCTACATGAATCATTTGGATAACTCTGTTTCAGTATTTTACGATGACTAATCGACCTAACACTTATTAATTCCAATAAAAAAGATTTCTTTACAACTCGTTGTGTTTTTATTAATATAAAAATATGTATGGTTGGATAAATATGTATAAATGATATTAATTAAACACAAATGGATGTCTGTTATGTGACTTGTAAATGGATTTCATTATTCACATTCATTAGGGACGCAATGATAGTGACAACTCTGGACACCTTTACTAGTTTGCTGGCTGGTTGCACAATCTTCGCCATTCTAGGTAATCTCAGTCGCGAATTAGGGATCGAGGACATCGGCACAGTGGTTCGAGGTGGCACTGGATTGGCATTCATTTCCTATCCGGAAACGATCGCTAAATTTACGATCGCACCGCAGTTCTTCAGTGTCATGTTTTTCGCAATGCTATTCGTCCTGGGTATTGGCAGCGAGGTTGGTCTCGCTTCCGCCATAATTTCCATCGTGCATGATCAGTTCCCGAAGGTCAAGTACTGGCACATAGCGGCTGGCACTTGCCTCTGCGAGTTCTTAATCGGTCTTATATACGTCACGCCGGTAATTAGGTGCCATTAACAATTATTTTTGTTAAATCGTTGCTTTTATCTTAATTGAGCAAATGTTCACAGGGCGGCCAGTTCATGATAACTTTCGTCGATTATTATGTGACCTCATTTATCGCTTTTCTACCGGCTGCTTTCGAAATGATTGCTGTCGCTTGGTCATATGGTACGTTTCTCTCCGTCTATAATAATTTCGTTTAATAAATTTATATTTGTCAATTAATTATCCAATTGTTATTATTTAAAACGAACGATTTTAGGACTGGGTAATTTTCTGAACGATGTCGAATTTATGCTGAAGAAACGGCTGTCGATGTTCTGGCGAATTTGTTGGAGCATCCTTACACCTGGAATTGTCCTTGTAATCTTCTTCTATACATTCGCCAATCTTGAATTACTGAAATACAACAAGAAGTTCTATCCTTATTCAGTTTATGGTAAGTTAAAATCAGATAAACTGATATTTAGAAAATTTTTCTACACTTTCTTTTTATAAAATTTTGTTGACTATTATTTTGTACATCTCTATTTCTTCTATCATAATATCACCTATACTATTACACAAGATGTTCAAAAAGTCCCGGGTTCTTTAAATATTTTGAAGTAAGCATTACTGAGAAAAATGTTTCATACAAAAGTTGTATAATTTAAGGGGATGCTGGAGTGTCCTGTTTTATCATTAATTATTAAAGACTCTTTTCTCTTAATGTGTTTATGGATTGAAAAATCCTTCTCCACAATTGAAGTATCGACAACAACGCAATTCGCCAGCTACATTTGAATATGAAAACGAAAGAAAATTGAAGACTTACAGTTTTGTTGTCGGCTTCTGTAGTCAACACGTCACAATATGTACTGCATATAAGAATTTCAGATCTTGCACGTTCATAAAAAGTAGTTGGCGAATTACAAAAAGTCTAAACGAACAATCCTATGCTTTTAGAAACGAGGTAGGGGGTTTAGTATAAGGTTTTAGTATAAGAGAAAAGAGTATCCGAAAATTTCGTTTATATATTATGAGTGAAATTATATATTATGAGTGACGTGAAGCCATGAAACCAAGCAGTATTTTAGTTCCGCGATATTCCGACAGCGTAGCTGAACCATAAAAATAATCTGAATTATCGATCTACTCAGGCCCCCTGATCAAAGTTTTTTCTTTTGAGAGGAAAAATAATAATAAAATAAATATGATATTAGTTATTTCAATTTTGTTGAATAATTTCTTCCTAAACAAGAAACGTACCATATTATTTACATATGAATACAATGAAGATAATTATTTTAATTGCACTGTTCTGTCTTTTACATACATTTTATTTAGTAAATTATTGATGCATACCAATACATAAAATAACATATATATGTATATATATATATATATATATGTTATTTTATGTATATATGCATCAATATATATACACGTGTGCGTATGTATGCGTGTGCGTGCGTGCATGCGCGCGCGCGCGCGCGTGTGTATGTGTGTGTACATATATATAACACATGTCTAAACTTTATTTACTGAATAATTTACACATACATATATCAGTGTTCGGAACGCGATCTGTGTTCGGTTGAGCTTCGATTCTGCTCGAATCGGATGGCGAAACGAC